CCCGCCCCACCCCGTCCCACTCCCGCCAGCCCCTCGGTGGGGGCACCGAGGAGAGCGGAGACCCACCGACAGTCTTTCTCAAACTCCTTGGATTCGTCCGTGCAGTGGAAGAACTTCCCCTTGAACAGCTGCACGGCCACCACGGCGAAGATGAACATGAACAGCATGTAGACGATGAGGATGTTGAAGACGTTCTTGAGCGAGTTCACCACGCAGTCGAACACGGCCTGGGGGGACGGGTTGGGGTGGGGTGGAGGGGAGAGCGCGCGTGAGGGGCTGGGGGCCTGCCCGGTCAGTTGCCTCCAGCAGCCCACGATCGTTCCATTTCACCGACCACGCCTCACGCCCAGTCACGCGGTTAAGGTCCCGCGGCTCTGGGAGGTAGGTGCTGGGGCTGCACTCAGTCCTGGCTTTCCGTGCATCTAATCCCCGCCCCCGCCGTTTTCAACTCCGGGGAAACGGGGCGGCTTCTCTGAGCCTAAGACAAGCTCACAGCTCTTCAGGGCAGGAGGAACGGGCAGACAAGGAATTTCCTGTTAATTCTGTGTCCCTGCTTCACTCGTGGCCCCTTTTCCCATCCCCTGGAGCTGCGCTCTCACGCCCTTTGGACCGCTGAGCAGTAGGGGGCGCTCTGCCGGTGAGAGCCGACTTCACGTGCCCGGGAGATCCTGCCCTGGGTGACATGGAACCCTCTCACCATCTGCCCAAGAAGGCAGGGGTCCAGGCCCGGAATGTCTCCCACCCCGTTCTGCTTCTAACCGCAGCGGGTCCTAACCACAAGCGGACAAGGGTCCTCGAACCTACTGGAACTACAGGCTGGCTTTGGCAGCTTTCCCCAAGGGAGAGCGTGCATAGCTTTCCTGGGGGCTTTTATTTATTTATGTTTTATCTAATTTGATTAATTAATTAAATATTATTTTTCAGAGGGAGAGAGACAGAGTGAGAGCGGGGGAGGGGCAGAGAGCGTGGGAGACACAGAATCCGAAGAGGGCTCCGGGCTCCGAGCTGTCAGCACAGAGCTGGACGCAGGGCTTGAACCCACGAACCCTGAGATCATGACCTGAGCTGAAGTCGGACGCTTAGCTGACTGAGCCACCCAGGTGCCCCTCATGGGGGCTCTTAAAGGGGGCCGTGACCCAGGAAAGGGTGAAGAACCCCAGAACTGAATACTGCTGGGCCTCTCCGTATTTCAATGCAAGCAAGCTTTCATGTTCAAAGGGCGGCCACCTATTGGCTAGCGATAGTGCCAAAGTCCTGGTGACAGGGGGCATTTCTTTAGGGCCTGCAGGAGCCCGACACTAAATAGTGCTGAATCGCACGGCAACGAACTTAATCACTTCCCTCGTCTTCAATCCTCTTGAGCGAGCCAGAAGATCATGCTTAATTGCTACTGTTAACACCTAACCCTGATACTTTTCCTTTTCAGCCCGCGTTCAAAGTCCTTTCCAGGCAATCTTTTTGGCCGGATCTTATTTATTTATTTTGAGAGAGCGTGCCTGCGCGAGCAGGGGAGGGGCAGAGAGAGGGAGAGAGAAAGAATCCCGAGCAGGCTCCACAAGGTCAGCGCAGAGCCTGATGCGGGGCTCAGTGTCACGAACCGCGAGATCATGTGTGACCTGAGCTGAGATCAAGAGTCGGATGCTTAACCGACTGAGCCACCCAGGCACCCCTCTTAGGCTAGATTTTAAGAACAGTATCTTGTCTTTTGGGAACATGTGTAGTTTTATCTTCTGTTGGGTTCTTTCTGCTCTTCCCGCTT